GGCCTTTTTTTTTTTTTTTTTTTTTTTTTTTTTTTGTATATCTATATGGTTGCCGATTGTGTAATAAGGTTGCAGCCCTGTATGTTTAGTATTATTGATCGCTGTCAGCCTTACCTGAACCGTGCGCCCATTCGGAGCCTGGCCATGACTTAGGCCAGACTCACTCCTTTTGCTGATAGTTCTGGGGACGGGAAACGGTATCGATCCAGTGCAGGTGCAGATTCCGGACTGGTAGGTGAATGAGGACGAGGTGACCAATAAACTGGGTGGACTCCCATGAAACAGTTATTGGGGAGCGGGCAGCTTCAAACCAAATGATTCTTGGAACTGCAACAGAAGCATTCCCCATAGTCTCAATGGGATATGGTGTATGAGGCAAAAAAGAGAAGCAATATTCAAATGAAACAATGCCTACTTATGCCTACTTATGCCAAATAAATTTTTAAGTAGGGTTTGGTTTTGCAAGGCCATGCTCACCCACTCATCACCCCAACACTTACCCTCGACTCTAAAGGCATCACCTCAATTACCTGCACCCAACTAGTGCCCACCCAGCCATCACCCCTAGAGCGGCAACGAGAAAAGGGCAAAAATGACGGTTGGCCGAGCTTAACATATGGCTTAAGTACGGCTGAGCGGACGGGAAGCCCTGTTCTCCACACCCTATGGTCGTAGTTATGTATTTGAAATTAAGAATGAATATATCTTATAGTACGAATTCACATAAATTTGTAGCATTCTGGTCCTTCTCAATTCCTTATTACTAGAGGTATATTAGTATCTCCTAATGCCCGGAAAGCTCTCTATTAAGATAAGAAGCCGAACCTTTTAACATCTTTTTTATCATCTTCAAAGTAATAGTACAAATAAAAACAAATGCGTATCATAATATAGTAACTACTCCTTAACCAAAACACCGCGATATCTCATCTTCCCTTCTCTCAAAGTCTGCATCGCATCTTCAATTCCAGCCTCATTCATTGGGAAGGTCATAACCGTAGGGCGGATATCCTTTCGAGCAGCAAACTCAAGCAGAGTGCGGATGCTACGACGGGCAGCGACCAGAGAGCCTTGAACGCGAACACCCTTGAAGGCAAACTGCAACAGAGGGACGGGGGAGGCTTCGAAAGCAACGGTGAGAGGGTAGATGCTGCCATGGGTATCCATTAGAGGGGCGAGCCTTGGATGGTTAGCTGGTGGGTTATACATATAAAAAGGACGAATGAGCTTCTTACGAAGGATAATCAATGCTGGCACTTCCACACAGCAAAAGATGCTTCAAGGGCTTGCAATCCTTAGGAGGCTCCTGTCCAGAGCGGAAAACATGGAATTCCGACGCCCCAAAGTCCATAGCCTCTTGACGCTTGGATTCAGAACTGGACAAGACGACGACATGACACCCCATTGCTGCGGCCAGTTTTATGGCGACATGACCCAGTCCGCCAATACCCATGATAGCCACTCGGTCAGTAGCTTTGATGCCATATTCAGTCAGGACAGTCCAGACTGTGGCACCGGCGCACATAAGCGGTGCGGCGTGGATAGAATCATATCCCTCGGGAATGGGGAAGACGCAGTTGACGTCCCAGACGGCGCCGTAGCTGAAGGTACCGTTGTCGAGATCGTGGAAGCCGTATTGTTTCTGGTTGCGGCAGTATTGGTCCCAGCCTACTCTATTAGCCCAACATTCAGCATAATAGAAATAATAGAGACATACCAGTAGCACAGTTATCACATGAATTGCAGATACTATGAGTATACCCAAATCCAACACGATCGCCCACCTTGACAGTGTTCACAGCAGGACCAAGAGCCTTGATAATACCAATACCCTCATGGCCCAGCACCTGTCCAGTCTTGAGATAGTGTTCGTCTGTACCACAGAGACCGGAGTGAGTGGTTTCAATAAACACCTCATTGTATTCAAGAGTGCGGCTGGTCTTGTCGGCCACAATTCGGCCTTCGGGAGAACCGCGGAAAACGTCAAAGGTGATGCTCATCTTGGGGGGGGGGGGACCGTGTTGGAATCAATTTGATTGAGGTATTAGACTTTAGGTATCTAGGTATTTATAGAGAATGGAAGACCCCTATATTGTCGAACTGATTGCACCATTTCTTCAAAGTGGATTCCATCGTCTGTTGTCTGATTAATTCACTGAATAATCAAGAATTAAGACAGAATCCACTCTTTCCACAAGAACCGTCATACATGGAATAATTCGAGAACAATGTGGGTCGTCTGTTCCGCAGAACTAACAGTCTTCACGGAGATGATCTGCTTCGAGAAGTATTTCCGAAGATCTACCACAGTCAAAAGTGAAGCATGCAACCGAGAAAAGTCCGCGAAAAGTGTCCGGGCGGCGCAATTGATGTCCCGTCGCATGATCGGGATACCGAATCATTCATTATTATTGTTGGACCAAGCCGAGGAACCGACAAGAAGTTGCCGACTTTCCATGCGCTTAAGTAGAGTATGTAGTATGTACTTTTTTTATTTTTATTTTTTATTTTTTATTTTTTATTTTTTATTTTTCATTTATTTTTATTTTTATTTTTATTTTATTTTATTTTTTTTTTAACAAGTATTGCAAAAAGAAAAGACTAGAACGACATATTTTACAACGTTGAGTGTAGGGTTCCCAGGATTTCGCCCCCGGAATACCTGATCAGAGCTTGTTGAGTTGTCCGTTCCGTCACCGTTGTCACATCATCACTCGGCGTAAAGTCCGTCCGTCCCTTCATCCGCAAACCGTTCCGCTAAGTCCGCTTATGCCGCCCGATCAATTGCGAGTTTCCATTGAATGACTGGGTATGTCAATCAAACTCCCATTCGGGAGGCAGAAAGCTAAGAAAGGGGCTGGAACTTTGCCAAAAGGACCCGAGGAACTAACCATAGTCTGTGGTTAGCTTGTGGTCTTGTTTATATTCTCTACGTGGTTTCTATGTGGCCCGTACAGGTTTGAGAATTGCTATGGATATTAACAATGTAATTGTTTGGCATTATGTATGAGATTACGTTACACCAGAATGAAAGAAGAACAAAAGAAGAAAGTCTCACAATGTACATGGAATGCTCATTGAACTTTTGTCTCGCTTCCTACTTAGGGGCCCGGCGGGCTTGGCATTCCCAGGTTGGCTTCAGTTTCAGACAGTTGTGGGAGGTTGTCAGCGGTGACCAATGTTTGGCTCTGGCAGGCGGCAGTATCCAACCGCCTGGCATCTGAACAACACAGAACTATAGTTAGCCACTATCATCATCACATTCTCTCAACTAGCATATATCCATCTCATTTTCATCATACTACCATGCTGGCAACTGATTAATAATAAGCTCTGACTGATTCTCAAACTGATATCACACTGTAGACTGACACAGTGACAACCTGCCTGCTATCATTAGCAACATCCTTGGCTCAACCCCAAGACACAAAGAACATTGCATTCACCTCAAAGAAATCTCTAGAACCTATTTCTTTCACCATCAAACACACTAACTTGACAAGATGGCCTGCATCTTATCAATTTCTTTTTCTTCATTCTCTCATTCTCTCCATGCCAACTTCTACTATATCACTCTTCTTATCTCTTATAACCTTGTTGAATTCATCTGTCTAAACACCTGTCTATTTATCATACATAAATCTCCTAGTAGAACTGCTGTGTGTACACCTGACATATTACCATCATCATGGTGGAAGAAAACCGACCTGCGCTGATTGATTTTTCCCTGATTCCTGAAGATGACGGCAATGACGACAATCCTGGTGAGTGAAACCCTTTTCCAACCCTCCTGTTAACAGCCTAACGATGAGACAGAGCGTGAAGGCAAACTAGTGGGGAACAAGGGCAAATTGCAGCAGATACTCAATTTGACAGACAAAGGGGAGTGGATGGAGTGGTTGAGGTCATGCCTGGTGCAACCATGGTGGATTGAGTTATGGACTGAATGCCTCTCAAAATGTGTGAGTGGAGAGCGGGGAGTTGGTGTGGGTGAGATCCAGGCAAAAATCCTGGCTGGTGAGGGCAACAGATGGAATGAATACAGTGACCCCATACCTGAGAAGAAGGAATGGAGCGCCGCCGACCACATAGCAAGGTTCCATTTCATGGTGAAGACCCAAAACCTGGTGTCCAATGAGGGTGTGTTCTACAGTAAGAACTTTGCTGACTCCTACCTTGACAAGGTTGTCTGGGCCTTGAAGGGTTACCTCACCAAAATCCATACGCCATCACATATCAACAAGCCCACCGGTGGGGCCGCTATTTTTGGTGAAAGGGTCTTAGGTGTGTATACCACCCACTAGCTAGTAGCCCCCCCTGGAAAAGCCTTTCTCAGACAAACCCTGATGCCTACATCTTCCAGATGCCAAGTGAAAGCAGACTGATTCATCTTGTACACCACAGCCCTCCAAGCTCAAGCGCACGGAGTCCGACAAGGCAAATGCTGGGTCTGAAGAACACAATGAAAATGAACTCAAGGAGGCTGAGACCACCCAAGCCACTGAGTCAGAAGAGGCGGTTACAAGTCAACAGGTGGACACAGCCAATGAAGATGAGAATGATAGTGATGATCATGATGGAGAGCCACTGCTTCTGGACAGTGATCTATGGAAAAATGAACTCCTGAGCCCACGCAAGCAAATTGTCCTGAAGAAACAATCCACAGACTTCAACAGGGAAGAGGCATATTGGCAGTTCATGTTGATCACTGAAGCTCTTGCATGTACTCAAATCATTGGATTTACTGATAACACACCTGCTGCCGTTGATAATGATCCATCAAGTATTGCGAACACAGTGTGGGAGCCACTGGTCATCCTCCCTGGCTCTAAAAAGTCTCAGGTCAGAACAGAGACATTTGAAAGTTCATATTACACCAATGCCACTGACCTGGAATCCTCTTATGCAGGAGAGATCGACTCTACCAAGGAGCCCAGTGATGTTATTATCCCAACAGAAGAGTCTATCGCCCGGCTGCAGGACCTTAAGAAAATCATCAACAATAAGGACTACCAGCACGATGACCATGAACAAGCATGTCATTTCCTAGGAATTTGGAGCCATACAGTGCCCCATCTGTTGTACATGAACTGTTCAGCCATTTTAAAGCATTGGCAGCCGGTTGCCATTGCTGGAATTGTGTGGATGTGGGAAGTGGACTATCTTCAGGGGGCTGTACTTGGAGACCATGTGGGCCTGGGTAAGACCTGGGAAGCTGTTGGCGTACTGCTATATGTGAGTTGGCTCATATTACTTCCTTGAGAAAGGCTTTTCCATACTAACCTTTTCAATTCTAGCTATTGGCAGATTATCGTCAGAAGGTGAAGGAAGCATCTGAGTCTGGCTCCAATGC